GTCTAGAATAATTTGCCTGAACCCCGGGGGTTCATAAATTTCACCCTGAACCAGGGGTCCAGAATAAGGACGCTCTTATATTATCCCATAAACGGTAAATCATGTGAATCACGGGAAAATACTTGTGACGTCACTATCGTTTAAGGGATGGTACAGTAGTAGAGTTACTTTTACACAAAATAATTAAGCATAAATATCATGTGATTTACGCTCACGACTAAGTAACACATTTTGTAACCCCTCTTTTTTCTCGACTTTCAAATAATATCTTTGAAATTTTTTGAAAAGTTATCTCAAAACCTTATTGAACTTCTAAATGACAAAGATGATTGCAATGTAATCATTGAAATTGAAGATAAGGAAAAATCTTTTACGGCGCATTTTAACGTATTAAAATATCGATCGTCTTATTTTCGTATGGAATTAGAAAATATTCAGCCAAATGAGAATAATATTAAAGTAATTACTAAGTCAAGCATTTCTGCTCAAATTCTTGATGCTATTCTCAAGTAAGTTATTATCAAAAAATGAGCTTACTTGTATTGAAAATTTAATTTAGTTCATTATTATAATCAATTTTATTTTATTTAAATATATTTACGGAGGAATTGTTAACTTGGAGTACCCAAATCTTGTTTTTGATGCAGATGACTTTACTTCTCTTTCAGAATCTGCCCTAGTGTTTCTCCTCAAACGAGACGATTTGAAAATGGAAGAAGTTAAAATTTGGGACTACATTATCAAGTGGGGAATTTCTCAAAATCCTACTCTTCCTATAAACCTTGAAGAATGGACCATGGATAATTTTCTTATATTAAAAACTACATTACAACAATGCCTACCATATATTCGTTATTTTCATCTTTCCACTGATGAAGTCTTAGATTCAATAAAACCTTATAAAAAAATTCTCGAAAAACGACTTTGGAAAGATATCAATCTGCATTTGTTATCTCCTAAACGACCAATAAAATCAATTATTTTACCTGCAAGATCAGTTTTGGCTATAGAACTAGCTCCTCGTACAAATGAACCCAAAGAAATTTTTCAACTATCATTTCTGAAGATCATGTAGCATAAATTTCAACTTGGATTGATCGGGAAACAACTATTTATTTAACCACAAATATCCCATATAAATTCGAATTAATTTTATTTGGATCTAGAGATGGATTTGCACCACAAAATTTTTGGGATATTTGTCATGGCCACGCTCATACAGTTGTGGTTCAAAAGTTAAAGGAACTGACGAAATAATTTGAGGTTATAATCCTTTAGCATGGGATAGTCGTAATATCTTAGATCAATGGATGGAAACAAAAGATAGTTTCACTTTCTCATTAAAAAATGGTAATATTCATAAGTCAATTCTTAGCAGGGTAAAAAATCATAAAAAAACAATTCTTTATCAATCTTTAAAGTATAAACATAGTCATGGTCCACATATTGGATATGGTTTTTGTATTCGTAGTTTTAAATATAATTTTTAATATAGACGAGTATAGTTACTGTAATATTGACTTCAATTATGAAAAACCTATAAGAGCTTCACAAGATTTCTTTTCTATTGATAATTATGAAGTATTTAAAATTGTTAAAAAATCTTAAAATGATTTATATTATTATATTCATTTTTTCTATTAATTAAATAAACATAAAACTTTGTTTAAATTTACTTTTAAATAAATATCATTAATAAGTATTTTTAACAATGCATTGAACTCAAAACTACGGAATCTCAATTTTTTTATTTCAATAGAATACATTTTGATATCTAAAAAATGAGCAATCTATTGATTGGCATATATCTCGATGATTAGATAATAATCATATTTATTCATTAAGTTTAATAAAGTTTTGAGATAACTTGTAAAAAAGTCGAAAGACGTTTTTCGTTTTCGTAAATTAATGATTTGAGTCAAATAACTCATTTTGGAAGTCTCGGATTGTTATTTAGTATTTAAATTAATTTTGCATTAAAGGATCAGTCATAGCCAATAAACTCTAGTAAAATAATAAATAGTTTTTATTATAAACTTGGTGAAATGCATTTATAAGTAATTTAAATTATAATAGAAGATATAAAGAAATCATAGTTTAATATAAATACTGATATGAGTACCTGTTTAATTATAATAAAAATAAAAAGAACAGATAGTGACAGCTTTTATAAAGAATACAGCTCTAAATAGTTTTCTTAATAACTTAACGATTTTTCATAATGTATGCCTTAATTGTTACGGTTAGATTCATTACCTAAAGTAAAATTAGATTTAGAACCATACATATAAAAAATAATATAAACAATCGCATGTTGAGAATTTTTACTCTACTAAGAATCGAATTTTGAATATTACCTTTAGTTTCCATTCATAAATTAGAACTACTATTATTATTGCTAGACCATACCAAAGAATTATAACCTCCAATTATTTCATCAGTTCCTTTAACTTTTGCCACAGCAACTGTACCAGCGTGACCATGGTAAATATCCCAAAATATTTGTGGGACAAATCCATCTCTATTTCCATTAGATTAATTCAAAATTTATATGGAATATTTTATTTGTTGTTGTTGGATAATTAGTTTTTTTTTACGGTCGGAAATACTCTTTGGTCTTAGTGCGGACTTAAAGTTTTAATTATAGATGTAGAAGTGTCGTATTTTTTTTATTAAAAAAATGTATGTGTCGCAATTTATGTCGTGTGTCAATATGTTGCGATGTAGTTAAAAATTATATTATGGATCCAATATATGCCATTTGATAACTATTCATTATCACGCAATATTCTATACTCACGTCTCACAACACTGTGACTTAATGACGTAAAAAATAAATAGAATCATATGTCCGCACCCCCTACTTAGGAGATGATCGATATCTTCCCAGGTTGTTTATCAAGAATATTTTTATAAGGTTTAATTAAATTTAAGATTCATCAGCTGAAAGTTGAAAGTAGCGAATATATGTTGTAATGTTTTTTAATGTGAAAAAATTTTTATTGGTCCATTCTTTAAGATTTGTAGGAAGACTAGCACACTTGAAGGCATATTCTCAAGTTTCGACTTCTTTCATTTGCAAATCATCTTCACATGAGAAGTGACACCAGTGCAGATTCTTTAAGAATCCGAACTATCAAAAATAATATAAAAAAATATTATTATAATAATTTTCGAATTTTTAAAATTTTAACTATCAAAAATAGTATGATGGACCAAAGGAAATGTGTTTTTAACCAAGAAGCTTTGCTACCAATAAGGTCAAATTAATTGGCGGCTAATCTCTGAATCAAAAAAATCAACATTCTTCGTATTAACAATTCCTCCGTAAATATATTTAAATAAAAATCAATAATATCAGCCTTAAATATGAAAATAATGAGAACGTTTATGTAAAAAAATTTATTTGGTTCATTCTTCAAGGGATGGAATCCTGAGAAACTTCCAACTAATGACGTGTCGGTGATTTTACTTCAAATCATCTTGATTAAGAAGATAAACCAGCGCAGAGAAATATCAAAAATAAAATTTGGATACTTGGCTACAAAAAATAATTACTGAAACATGAATCAGGTTTCGGATTTCTTTTCTTCCTTTATTATCTTTATTATATACATACATTATTATAAACACACAACAATACACGTTCCGTGAATAATTTACCGTGTAAAATTTATGCCTAAAACGTTCCATAAATATATTTATACAATTTACCAAAATAGATAATCAATGATTAGAAGATAATCGTGAACTTATTGTTTATATCATACGGAGTTATGCATGTAATAATGTTTAAACATGTTATCTTTTTTAACCAACCATCTGTAATTAGCCGAAAATAAAAATAAAAATTCAAATAAGATTGGATATTTTAAGAAATTATTTAAAAATTTGTTTTTTTTTACAAAATTGTGTATCAAAAAATGATGTTACGGTTTACTTAATTATAAGGTAAAGTTTTCACGTTGCACATAATTCGAGATTTTCATATTTCCATTGATCTTTTTGAACGTTACAATTAACAAGAATAAACAAGTAATTAACAAGTAATTAAAAAAGAAAAACAAGTCAAGATTAGATTTTAGCATTGATTATCATTTTTTATAATTACAAGTTCATCGTACTTTTCCATCTGTAACATTAACATTGGTTTCATATTACATAGTAAAATTTTCTTTTCTTGATTCTTTTTGATTCTTTTATATTCACGATAATGATTATTATGATAATAGTAATCTTTATAATGTTCAAATCTAAATCTATGATAATGGAATTTTTGATCATCAACGCAATTCTTTTCTTCTCTGCAAATTTCATATGTCTTGCGTGATGTTATTGTATTTTGTTGTGACGATGATGATGGATTAACAGGATGTATGGAATCTATAATTTATTATAATTAATTACAATAATAACATTACATAATAAAAATATGTTTAAAAGCATTGCTATTACCTCCTATCAACATCTCATAATCTCCTTCACTTCCACTGCCAAATGTTTTTTTTCTCACATTTTCTGATGTGGAAGGTGATTTATTTTGTTTCTAAATATAACATGAATTAATATTATAACTTATAAAAATATGATTTATATACAATTTTCATAAATTTCCATAAACTTACCGATAAATAACAATTTTTTATGGTATAAATTATTATTGGAGTAGAAATTGAAAAAGTTGAAATTCCAACAGATACAGCAGTTATTAGTTCTATCATTTTTTTTTAATTTTTTTTTTCAAATAGGCGAATTTATTACTAAATTTCTAATTTATTAGTTGTTCTCATTAATTTTTATTATTATTTTTTTTACTAATTTTTTATTAACTCTGAAGAATGAGAGAAAGAATGACGAATAAATAAAATTTGCAGGATATACAAACAATATTAACTATTTTTATTTGTCAATGAATGCGCAATTGTGCATTTTGCGTATAAATAATGTTGATCGAATCAACAAACAAATCAAATAATAAATAAAATGCAAACTACGTAATGTAAAAAATTAAGATGATCTGATACGCTTATCGAGTTTATCGGATATTATTACATTTCACTTTTTCCCACATTATAGCATTTGGCTAAGCACTTCGCTAAAAAATCCTTTTGAATAATGCATTTACTTTTGATATCGGAATTTTTATTATAAATTATTTAATGCAATACGTGTGTCTACTGTATGAAGTTTAAAAAAAATAATTTTTTCTAAAAAAAGATTTTAATTTTTCTATGGTTTTGTTTATTATGCGACAACATTTGGGTGATAGATATCACATGCTGCCCTTATTATAACAATTGATGTGAACTAGGTAACAAATTTTTGCCCCTGAACTAGGGTTGTTAAATGGAGCATAATGTTCTAGTACCAACCCAGGTTATGTACCACTCCATCATGGAGTGGGTTAAGATTTCTAGTTTTTTGTACCAACCCGGAGCAAAATATTTTATTATAACCCATGGAGTAATAATTATAATTATTACTCCATGGAGCAACCCGGAGTAACCTGGAGTAACCCGGAGCAACCCATGGAGTATTAACCCAGTACATTTAACTATATTTAACCCGGGTTGGGTTGGGTTAATCCTTGCTCCGCTATAATATGAACCTAACCCAACCCGTTATGTTCTATTAACAACCCTATCCTGAACTACCCCGACCCTGAATTTTTATGGTTGACCAATAAAACTACCCATATGACATGTGACAAATCTTTATATAAAATATATATTTCTTTAGAAGTTAGTCATATATATATTAATAATTTATTCTATCACTTTGCAAAAAATAAATAAAAAATAAATAAAAAATAAATAAAAAATAAATAAAAAATAAATAAAAAATAAATAAAAAATAAATAAAAAATAAGAGATAGCTGCACATCATGCGTTCTGCGCAGGACCAGTATGATCTGTGTACCAAATTGATGTTTATTAGGAGTACAGTTCTTACGAATTCAACATATTTCATAATTACACTCTTACTTCATTTCTTTTTTCTTTTGTGAAGTGTAACTCTTGATATATAAAAATATCAAATTTATACATGTGTTACAATTAAAACTTTTTTGAAATAAACTTTATTTAATAAATGTTCGAATCAATATAACAAAAAAAATATATACAAAATAAAAACAGAAATAAACGAATGACAGGTTTTGAAGATCTACTTTTTATCATTTTTACTATTCATATTTTTAAACATTTTGGCTCGTTTTCCTGTATTATGCACTTTTTTATGATTATATTCTTTATTTTTATTTTGGTTAGTGACATTTTTTTCTAGTTTGCTACTTTCACCTGCATATTCCTTATTGTATTTAATATCTTCAACAACATACGAATCGATATGTTTATAAGTTTTATTATTAACATTTTTATGGTTATGTTCATTCCTTTTTATTTCAATTAATAGTACTTTCTCCCAATCTGTTGTCTCATTTATATATCCCTTATTGTATTCAAACATATATCCATCTTCAACAATGTCAGAATTAATATGTTCACGAGTTTCATTTTCTAATTTTATACATTTAAATGAATGAAGATCAGGAGGTAAAGAATCAATAACAGATTAATTCATCTTATCATCATTGTGATTATCAATTATGAATACTTTAGATGAATTCTCGTTAATATCTTGATAAGTAATAAAGAGTATCGATCGAACTTATTTGAGTGACTCTAATATTGATTAAAAAGAATTGTTAACTTCTTTTTCATCTGTAGAAATATCTACATAAGAAGTTTCTACAGCATACATGTATAAATCTTTTTGTATGACTTCCATTTGTTCTGTGACAAAAAGTACTGATTTATCTGGTCGAACAGAATTTATCAGATACTTAAATTGTTTATTGCGATGCGGAAATACAATCTTGACAATAAAATTATTACTCTTCTGACCGATATAATCTTTAATTAAAACTTTAATCATTATATTTTCATTATTAATTTCTTTTGCTACATCCTGAATTGTGCCAATTAACAAAATTTTTAGAGAACACCTATTTAATCCAAGATTCTTTTTGATTGTGAGATGAGTTGATGAAGCAATAATTATTAATTAATAAACAAATTAATAACTGTTTATTATTACATGTATCAGATAAATATAATTAATAACTACCTTTAATCTCAGGTTATCATTATAATTTCCAGGTATAATTTTTTCACCTATACTATAATATTCATCTTTTTTGAAAATGGATTGTGTATTAAAATCTCTTTCAAATCTATTAAATGGAACAAATAAAACTATCTCCATGTCACGATCTTCAATTTCAACAGGATAAGTACCTATTGCCCATACAACAGTTAAATTTGTTTCTTCTTTATCAGTTATATGAACTTGATTAATTTTTATAATTGTATCAATACAATATTATATTTTGCAAATTATAAAAATTAAAGAATTCTGTTACTTTTACAAACTAAGTATCTTTTATATATAATACGATATTAATAAATATATACATCATAATATTTACATTTTCAAAAATATCAGTTTGCAGATTACTATACTGTTATCTATATAAATCTTCTATAATTTACAAAGACAATGAGATAAAATAATACTAAAATTAATAACAAAACTAAATATAACTATAAGAATACTAATCTTAAAATAAAACAAATTACGATACAAGGGTTTATGTGTAGAAGGAATTAAGTACGTTCAATTATGAAAAAGGTGTATTAACTATTAACAGTGGTATGAAGACTTGTTAATAGGAGCAAACAATTTATCAATCATCAAAAGAATACAATAAACAAGAAACTCAAAGGATTTTGTAATATTAACTTTATTACTTAATAAATTCTAATTAACTCAAAAACTAAAACTGACTAAAAACTGAAGACTGAGTTGAGAAAATTCTCAGCCTTTATATACATTATGATTTTAACTACTAAGTTAACTTGTAATCTAACTGCAAACTTCACTAGTAACTATATTAATATCCTAACTGGTACCTTAACTATTAATTTAACTTGTACTTTAACTGAGATATTAACTCGTACTCTGGTTTGTATTCTAATTTGTACGCTAGTATTACAGATTAACAAGAATTTAGGAATCTACTAATTTAAATAATAATATCTAATTTGTACTACAGACTATTAAATTAATCTATACATGCCCCCAAAATTAAAAATCCAAAACCTAATTCCGGTTAATTTAAAATAACCCCAAAATTGAATTCCAAAATTTAAAATTAATTTCAAAATTATTATAAAAGACAAAAATATTTACAGGATCAAAATTATTACAGGGGACAAAATTTAGTGTAACTTCAGTTAAAATTAGCATTTCAACAGGGGACAAAATAGTTATAAAATTTCAAAATTATAAATTTATAGATTTTTTTTTTAAAAAAAATAAAACTTAGGGATTGTGTAGACGATTGTAAAATGGCATATGCTTTTTCTTTCTTTATTATTATTTTTTTAATAAAATAATTCACTACCTCTTAATTTACTCTTTTACCTCTCCTTAACTTACCTTTCTACCTCTTCTTAACTTACCTTTCCTCAGGATTGTACTCTTGGGTTCGCGAAATGGCGTAGGTAGGTTTTTTATTTCTTTTTTTTATTATTTTTTTAATAAATATATTTACTTACCTTTTCTACCTCTTCTTAACTTACCTTTCCTCTGAATTG